TGTTTGGCTGGCAGTGGAATGGGCTGGTACTGCAGTCGCCAAGTACCACTGCAGTCCCTTGCAACAAACTCCAAGTCTAGCCCTCCCCATGGGGATGAATCAAATTTATTAGCAAGAATGATTTTCCAGTGCTTTCCCAAGACAAGGAACACTGCTATATAGATGAACAACTATCACAACCCTCTAAGAAATAAGAGTTCCGCTCACATTTGCCAAACACTCAGAGACCAAGTGTGCCAAAAGCTAATGGCAAATCCAAAGGACAAGGCACAGAGGTTTTACGTGTGTGCGCGTGTGTTTGTATGCATGCACCTAGAAGGAATATTCAACAAATTTAACTACTGGACTATATCTGAAAAAAAAAATTTTTTTTAAGAATTCAAGGGATTTTCAGACATCATCAAAATAACTTCCTTAAAAGGTCAATTTTTAAATGAAGTAGATGGTTATTAATTCCTCCCTTCCAACTAAGCCCAACATCTCTACTAATAATAGACTGACTTATTGCCTTCCAGATAAGCAGTCTTCAGCAGTTCATTCATTTATTTAAACAGTTCAGAAAGCACTAAAAGATGTTGGGCACAGGGTGGGGCACTGGGGATATAGAAATAACAGACTCTGATCTCAAGTTGCTCACCAGGTAGATGAGATAAATGAGTAGATAAATACTGTAGAGTAGGACAAGGGCTAATAAAGATAAATGGAGAGGCAATTAAACTATGAAGATAGAAAACCGAATAGAGAATTGAGAAGTGGTTCCAAGCAGCTGGAAGTATTAGCATATTCGAAGTATAGACCTTGAGAACACTTTCATTGACACTTTCCCAATCTTACTATGAGACAGAAAATATTACCTCTCCCATTACAAATTAATAAACTGAATTACCCACAGTCACCCAGGCAAGCAGTAGGTTAACTAGAACTACAAAAAAGAATATAGGCCACATGATGCTTATCAGTTTTAAGAGACCAATATAGTCTCCTTTCTCAATTGTCATGCTTACACTTGAAATCCAGTTCAAGTCAACAAAACCAGAGAAATACTACACAGAAACTAAGCAAAAAGCTACCCATGAGAAAATTAAGTATTTGCCTGTGTAGTATTTTTAGGTTTGAGCATCTAGCCTTCAGCAAGCACTTAGCACCACTTGACATTTTCCAAGGAAGGGAAGGGGTAGCAATCTCTATCTTTGGGGTCTTGTGTGAAAAGGTATCCAACCCTACTTAGGAAATTTCACAAACATCTCAAACAATGGTACTCTCAGTGTGACTTCCAAATTAACTACAGGATATATATAAGAGCTATGTATGTCGAATATTCACTGACATCTCTTCAAACAGCTATACACAGTTTTATTAGGAATGAGATGCTAAATGCACTTTTAGACATCAATAAGACCATACCCTCAATTATATTTAGGTTCTTGGGTATCTTATCTTTTTTAAAAATTTTATTTATCCTTGAGAGAAAGAGCGTGAGTGGAGGAGGGCTAGAGAGAGGGAGACGCAGAGTCCCAAGCGGACTCCAGGCTCTGAGCTGTCAGCACAGAACCCAATACGGGGCTCAAACTCATGAACCGTGAGATCATGACCAGAGTTGAAGTCGGATGCTTAACCGACTGAGCCACCCTGGCACCTCCTTAGGTATCATATCTTAAAAGGGAAAATCTTTTCACTCAGAATGCATCACTAAAATAAACAGGACTTAATATTCCAACATTTGCTTTAAAATGTTTTTTCAGGAAATCATCTGCATATGAAATAAAAATATAGAATACAATGCTACCCCGTGCTCTTATTCTAAAAGCTCTTCAAGGCAAAAGATATGTACATTCTGCAAGTGGTCCAATTACTACCTGAGATGCATGTTTACATACGCTGCAATATCTAGACATCTAAGTAATTAAAGCCTAGTGACTGACGACTTAGGACAGGGATGACAAACCACAGCCTTCAACCACAGCCGGTTTGTGTAAATAAACCTTACTACAATACATCTCCAAACATATTGTCATGGCTGTTCGTTCACTTTGCAGAGCAGAGTAGCTGGGACAGAGACTACATGGCTCGCAAAGCCTACATATTTACCATCTGACCCTGAACAGAAAAAGTCTGTCACCCCTATCTTGAAATCATCAGACTAATGACCTGACAAATGATGTCGCCTAAGAGTTTACCTAGCCTGGATGATGAGCTCCTGAATACAATGAAAGAGAATTCTTACCCCAAACATCCACGGTCAAAACCCACAGGGAAGCAAACCTCTGCTGATTCATTCCAAAACACAGAATTGTCAATCTTGACTAAAAACTAAACTTTAAAAGCAAATGGTGGATTCAACTCTTCATCTTTTAAAAACTGTGTTATATTAATAGAATAAACATACAAACTCAACGACTTCCACTGTCACTTGTATAGTTAACTACCACCAAGGAACCATGCAAGTTATTCTTTTACTCCTTAAACTGGCATCCAAGAGCCCACACACAGTGAACCAGTAAACAAAGTAGGCCATAATCTTTGTGAAGTTTGATTTCACCTGTCATGACAAAGAATGGGGTGGTAAGTGGAACATCCAAAATCTCTTCTGGATGTATTTAGCCTCTTCTGTGCTTACTAGTCTAAAAATCCCAAAGTTGTGTATGTATGTCATATGAAAGAATTACACTCAAATAAGTCCTGCTGAATCTATTTGCCATTCTTAATTTATTTTATCTAAATAAGCCCTAGACCCAATGTGGCGCCTTAACTTGACCCCGAGATAAAAAGTGGCATACTCTACCACTGAGCTAGTCAGGCACTCTTCTCTATGCCATTCTTAAAATTTAAGGAGAAAAAAAAAAGCTAATACTTTTTTTTTCTTTTGCTGTAAAAGTCATATATACTTAAGAACTGAAGTCTATTAAAAAATCAGGGATTACATTTTTACATATCATTCTTAACAGTACTGAGTCAGTCGTGTCAAATTAATACAAAAATTGACAAATCATTTATTTACCGATAATTACTATTCTCCAGTCAAAATAGGAGATCATGCCAATTCCTAAGTACAGCCAACTCTTGAACAGCCCCTGCCTGATACCGTAAGTGCTTGACCAAAAATGCACCAACAAACACCCTGGTACCCTTGACAACTCCAGTGCAGTTACAGGTTGTAAGGTGATGTTAACATAAAGCTAAATCAAGCATTTCATAAGGCCGACGGGATGCCAAAATATCAGGAAACAAACTGATAGAAAATAGCTGATTTTCTAATTATTCCTACTGTTCCCCCCTTCATCTTTGGTGTTTTCCTAAACTATTTTGGATGAAAAGAAAACGGGGGGAAATATTTAAAACTACAATCAAGTGACAACCAGTATACCAGAGACGACCAGATTTACAGAAAAGTCTTGTCTTCTGCTTTTTAAAAAGGAAGTAAGTCCGATCTTGATCCTATTCCTCACCTGTAGGATATTCACAAGACAAAGTCCTAAAGAGCCTTCAAATCTAAATTATTTTCTCAAAGCTCAGTTTTCTCATGAAGTTGATTCACGTGAGCTACACATTTATGTTAGCAGGAGGGGCAGATTACTCCTAAGACTAGGCCAAGCAAGTGCGGGGGCGATCTTTAAAAGGCACCCTGATGGGGGAAAAAAAAATGGAAACCCCACCCAGCTCTTAACTTTCTCGGTTTTTTCTAGTCCCGGCTTGTGTGCATAATCCAGAGAAGCAGAAAACTTCCTCCTCCCTGCCTGCCTCTCTCTGAGGCCTTGTGCCGAAATTCAGACCGCTAGTTATCCAAGCACCTTCTTAAGGTACTCTTAAGGCTCAAACCCGCTCAGAAAACAGCAAAAAAGCTTTGTTTTTTGGGTTAGAGAAGAGCAATTACAGGGTTTGGCGGCCGTGTTTGTCAGGAAGGGTAGGGCCGAGAAAGAGGGAGAATCCAGAGACTGAGCTCCATCTAGTCCCAGGAACCACCCCCAGGGGCGGCTAGACTGCCCTCGGTACTTCCCTGCCTCCTCTGCTCGGGACGGGAGAGCGGTGGGTCGGGGTCTGGCTCCCCTGAGCTACTTCCTGGTCCGATCGGACTCGCCTTCGGACACCCGAAACGCCCCCGGCCCGGCTCCCTCGCCCTTTGCCCTGTCTCCTCCCCTCTCAGTGACCCACCACCACCGGTCCCCTCCCATCTAACATGGCCGCCCCCCCCGGCCCCCCCCCGGCACAGCCTAACTAATGGGGGGGGGGGGGGTCCGCGGCCCCGCCTCCCCCAAGCCCATTGGCGCGGCAGCCTCCGTCCGCCTGCTCCATTGGACGGCACAGCCTGCCACTCCGCGCTGAGGGCTCCGCCTACGAGCCGCTTCAAGCTGCTCTGAGAAGACATATAAACAAATCCCGGGAGGGAGGCCCCTCTCTCCTGTCTCTGGGGCGGAGACGGGAAGGGGGAGCGGCTACCCCAGAGACACCCCTGCCTGGAGCCCCCCCACCCCCAGCGCGCGCTTCCTAGTCTCTTGCCTGTCCGGTTCCAACCTTAGTGGACCCGGCCCTTCCTCACACGCCCCTCTCTCTCCTCCCCCGACAGCCTCGCCTCCCCTCCCTTCCGCGGCCCCTCCCACCCGCTCGCTTCTCTGACAGGCCGGTTGCCGGCAGCCACGGCCCCGGGCTCGGAGGCAGCAGTGAAGGGCCGGGCGGCCTGGCAGGACAGATGCCTGGTGCTGCCCACCCCCGGTCTACCCTGCCGCCCACCCGTGGGTCCCCTCTACCGCCGCCCCGCGCTTTTATATAACCGTCCCGGGCCGGGGGTGGGGGAGGGGAACCGGAGACCCCGTGACCGGCAGGCGGCAGCCTGAAGCCCGCGCGCCCCCAGACTGGGCCCTGGTCCCGGCCCCCGCCCCGCGCCGGCCCGGCTTAGAGCCCCGGCGCTGCTGCCTCGTAGGCCAGCGGCCCTCCTCCGCCCCCTGCCTGGCTAGTCCCCCAGCCCAGGCCCCTGCGGGCTCCGGGCGGAGAGCAACGGAGCTCACCTGTGAGTGTGGGGGCGGCTCAGGGGCTGGGTCCGGTTCCGCTGCAGGGGCCGCGGCCCCTCTCCATGCTGCCTCGGTTTGTTTTGTTTATGTCCTTCCTGACGGGTTCCCGGAAATCGCGTGACTCGCCCCCCTCACGTGGGCCGCGGCGAGGAGGAGGAGGGAGGCGGGGGCCCGCCGGCCTCGGGCCAATCGCGAGACGTTCTGCAGCCTGGCCAATCAGGAGCTCGGCCCGGCAGGGCACCCCTGTCACATGACGCCGGAGGGGCGGATTGCCGGGAAAAACCAGGAAGAGGGGGCGGGGCGGGGGCTTGGCGCCTGTCACTGCTGCGTGGGCGTGGGCCGTCTTTGATACCTAGCCGCGCTCGCGTTTGTAGCCGAGGTTCATTTGCAATGGCTTTCCTATCCAGCGTTTTATCTGATCTCACAGCTACACGGTGAGGCCTGAATATACGTATACCCGTTTATATTTATGCCAATCTGCATTTACATTCTAAGTTCAGTGAAACTTGAAGGGGGGGTACGGGAACAATAGGGGCATTAGCTTAGGAGAGGAATTGTATCGACTGCTTTAGGTACATCCTTCACATCTGAACTTCTTAATTCGCTGAGATTGATCTTGCCTTCAGCCGTTCGTTCATTCAACTAATGTTTATTACGTACGTAAGCCCCAGACATTGGTATCAACTATATTGCGTGCACCTTTAAAAGAGAGACTGCCTGTACACTACTGTACAAACAGAATGCTACTAGAAGCGCCTAGACAAACAAACATTCATACCACATGTGTCTGAAGTTTTCTTGTGCTCCCTAATCCTACTGATAACAATAGCGACCTTTTGCTCCTAAACGTGATGTAGTGGACTCGTCATCTCATTTAGCTCACCCTACAGGGACACGCAATGGTAATATACACATTTTTGCAGAGGGGGGATATTAGGGCTAATTAGGGAAATTAGACCTGCTCAAGGTCAGGCTGCTAGTAAATGAACCAGCTGGGCCCGGAACCCAGATCGGTTACCACAGCCTGTGCTTCCAAACTGCTCTTTATACTTCTTAAGGGCGCAGAATTTATCTTCTGGGCACAGAACAGAAGCAAGACTTTAGTAGGCATGGAGAAAGGAGGATTGGAGAACAGAAATGCTTGGCCAGATTCCCTCAGGCTGCCAGATTTCTCTTAAGAATAATTGCCTTAGAAAATGTGGCTCCTCTTTGCACAGACCTAGGAAAGTAGTATAATGTCAACGTCAAAACTCTGGACTTTGGAATGGGAAAGACTTCTAAAGATCATAAACTTCAAGAGGGCACGAATTAGCCCCATTGTTTATCCTCCAACCTTCATGACATTGGCAGTCATTAAATACTGGTTGTATAACAAGCTGGATTTGAATCCTTGCCTCTACCATATGTGAACCAGCACAGTTTAACTTCTGTGAGCTTCTTCTGTTAGTACCTCATGAGGTTGTGAGAAGTGAGTGGAAAAATTCATATGAGGTCCTTACCACAGTGCTTCGCATAGAGCAAGCAGTTAATGAATGGTAGTATTATTAGATTGTTTCAAAGATGTCATTTAGAAGATGTACTGTAAATTAAATAGCAAGTAAGGGTAACTCTAGACTTAAGCAATTTAACAGCTACTAAAATAATACCTTTGTAAACAATATTAATAGGGGGGTATGTGTGGATACCTAAGGAGAAAATAAAAGTAAATCTCACCTCTGTATCCTTCAAAATACCTTAGGGTCTCCATACCGTGAAGGAATGTCTTTTCCCTACTGCACAGGAGTAGCAGGATTATAATTATTTTTTTTAAGTCTAACATACCACATTCTAATTTTCCATGTCAACTGGAATTTAAAATTGAAGCATCAATAGAAAAACTGGGCTGGGACATTTGGGCCAGTTTCCTCTCACTTGTTCACATTTGATTCATGTCTTAAATCTCCACGGAATACATCATAGACTATCCTTTCCCTAGTAATACTATGTTTGGAAAAACTCCCGCTGATGGTTAGCTCTTCCATTGTCCCACTGCCCTTTTGACACAGTCATTTTCACACTTCTTCTGGGCAACAGTTCTCTGGGATCAAGAAGCAGCCCGCTTCTAGCACGGGGCTCTGCCATTGAAGGGGTTCACTTGTGAGTTACATTGGATTCCCGCCTTTGATCTTCCCCGGTCTTGGAAAGGACAGCTTTGGCTAACAGAGACATTACAGTTTGTTAATGACCAGATCCTGCTCTGAAGTGAATGAAATCACTGATTGCTAATTGATTTGTGTTTCTTTGGGTTTCATCCTGCCAGATTGTGCCACAATCAAAATTGGCAGGAAGTTGGGACTCTGGAATTGCATTGGCTTGAGGCTCAGGAGCCTCTTGTTCTAGCCATCACGACTTCCAAAGTGCTTAACCTTGCTTCTGCAAAGTCATTTACATGACCTGAGTCAAAAATATATTTATAGTTTACACAAACATGACACAGTGAGGGAAACAAAGCAATACTTAGGACTCCACTGAATTCTTAAAAATAAATTATTTATTTTTTGATTAGGTAACATATACATAGCACAAAATTCAAAAGGCACAAAAAGGTATTCAGTGAATATTAACTCTCCCCCCTGCCCTGTTCCCTGGCCACTCATTTTCCTCTCTTAGAAGCAACCACAAGTGCCCATGCTCTGTGTATCTTACCAGTGATATATATATTTTTTATATATATGCTGACATTTCCCCACTTTATTTTATTTATTTGTTTGTTTATTTATTTATTATTTATTTTACAATCACCCACTTTAAATCTTAATGTATTTGAAACACTGTTCTTGGACCAACACTTCAATTTGAGCCCTGTTTACTATGGGATCCAAGGTGAGGGCTGGACCTCTCTGGGCCAATTTTCTCCTGAAAATAATTAAAATGGTTGCCACAGGTCCTAACTTTCCTTACAACCTAAAGCTTGCAATCCTTCATTCGAGCACAGACTGAGCCCTGCCTGCGGATGACGTACATATTTAAATGGGTGTTACCGTTTTGAGTCTAAGTATTTTCTTTCCAGGCCTCTGTGGACCTGTGTGATACCTTAAGATTTCACAGCTTCAGAAGTGAGATTAATTAACTCAAAGCTGGAAGATCTCCAGGAAAAATTGTGTCCTTTTAAAAACGGATTTTAGGGGCACCTGGGTGGCTCAGTCAGTTGAGCGTCTGACTTCGGCTCAGCTCATGATCTCACGGTTCGTGGGTTTGAGCCCCGCGTGGGGCTCTGTGCGGACAGCCAACTCAGCGCCTGGAGCCTGTTTCAGATTCTGTATCTCCCTCTCTCTCTGACCCTCCCTTGCCCACGCACTCTCTCTCTCCCTCAGAAATAAATAAAACATTATAAATAAATAAATAAACAAACAAATAAATAAATAAAGGATTTTATTCCTGAGGAGACTGGAGCATTGCTGAGGGTGAATCTAAAAGATACCAATTAATGGTTGGCAGTTGGCACCCATCCCTCATTGACCTCTCCTAAAAAAAAGTCTTTGGGGGGAGAAGAGTTCAGTTCTTCCCCTTGCCTAAGCCTCTCCATAGGATGCAGTATTCTTTATGTGACAGCTCTGAGCTTTGGTGTCTTCTCCGAGAAAGCACCAACTTCAGTCTCAAGACTCTTCTCTAGTCAATCTGTGACTTCTTTACCCTGATTCCTCACTTCCCATACGGAGAACCAGGCCTACCATGGGATAGGAGCTTAATAACCGCTTGTGGTCCAAATCCTATTCATCCTCCATGGCTCAAGTACCCACATCTTTTATGAGATCTATTTCTACCATGTCTATTACTGTTCTCATTAATGTCCTTTCCTCTGCCGCCCAATGAGCACTTAATGTACTTATCACTTTGTACTATTCGTATCGTGTGATATTATGTCCTCAATTAAATCAAGCGGCATAAACACTAATATGTCCTTGAATTACAGAGAATGCAAGGCACGTCATTAGACAGCATAATCAGGCCTGTGTTTAGCTGTGGGTAGGGGAAAGAAGAGAGAGAAATAAAATGACATGTTGAGTGTCCCATATGTACATGAAGACACAGTCCACGCTCTGGAGGAACAGAACCTGAAGGAGACTGACATGAGAAGCTTCCAGTACAACAACAGAGTTTCTAGGAGGGGAGGCTGTGGTGCGGGGATTAACAACAAGATACCTATGTGTTTTGGGGCCACTTTCTTGCTAACGTATTTGGGCAAGATACTAAGCTGACTGTTCCTTGATTTTTTTTTTAATATTTTTTTATTTCTAGGAGAGAGAGAGAGAGAGTGTGAGCAGGGGAGGGTCAGAGAGAGAGGGAGACACAGACTCTGAAATAGGCTCCAGGCTCTGAGCTGGCAGTCAGCACAGAGCCCGACGCGGGGCTCGAACCCACGAACCGCAAGATCATGACCTAAGCGAAAGTCGGATGCTTAACCGACTAAGCCACCCAGGCGCCCCGACTGTTCCTTGATTTCTGACATAACTTCCCTCACGGGTTGATTTTGAAAATCAAATGCAGAACCTGATGCATAATGGTGCTCAGCGGTGTTGACTCTCCCCCTCCCCCACCTTCTAGGGAAGAATGGGACTAGAAGCTTCTTAGAAGGGAAGCAGCAGCAAAGGGAAAGTAGCAGGACAAGAGAAGGCAACCAGCAACTCAGACTGTTTGTGATTCCATTATCTTCCAAGGCGGCATTCCTGTCAAAATTGTTTTGTCTGTCCCACTGAGACTGAAAACTTCTAGGACAGCTAGTAGGTCCTGTGGGATTTTGTTTCTTTTCTTTCTTTCTTTTTTTTTTTTTTTTTTTGTTTGGTTTGGTTTGATTTTTTGTCAGCACTGAGCTGCACATACATTGTTAGTATCAGCAACTCTAACTGATAGCAAACCAGGAAGCCAGGGAGTGAGAACAATCTAGCATTTGTTGTAGGAAAAGATTCCCAAAGGACAGGTACAATGAGACATTCTTGTTGCTGAGGCCCAAAGTAGGCCGATAAAAACAGCAAATGGAGGGACAGACTGATAAGCAGCAGGAACCAAGACCTGTAGATGTGATAATAAATAGTTTGTTGAGCTACAGATGGAGGT